ATCGGGATCCCTGGGTGGTGCAGCGGTTTGGCGCCTGCCTTTGGCCCGGGGCGTGATCCTGGAGACCCGGGATCGAATCCCACGTCGGGCTCCCGGTGCATGGAGCCTGCTTCTCCCTCTGCCTGTGTCTCTGCCTCTCTCTCTCTCTCTCTCTCTCTCTGTGACTATCATAAATAAATAAAAATTAAAAATAAATAAATAAATAAATAACCTCTATCCCCAACATTAGGCTCGAACTCAGGACCCCAAGATCCAGAGTAGCTTGCTCTTCTGACTCACTCAGCCAGGCACTCGAATTAGGACAATAGTTACCTGGAAATATAGTTCATTCAGAGAAGTAGGACAGAGCTAATTTCCTTTGAAAAAAAAAAATAACAGCTTTAATTGAGATATAATTCACAGGCCATACAATTCACCCTTTGCAAGTGTGTATCTACTCTGGTGGGTTTTACTATATTCACAGTTGTGCAGCCATCACTACTGTCTAATTTCAGAACGTTTCCATGGTGCCAAACAGAAACCCTAGAGCCATTAGCAGTCACTCCCCACCTCCCTCCGCCCCTTGGTAACAAGGAGTCTACTTTGTGTCTATGGTTTTGCCTACTTGAAACGTTTGATAGAAATGGAATCACACAACCTGAGGTCTTTAATTGACTGGCTTCTTTCACGTTGTTTTCTTTTCTTTTCTTTTTTTTTTTTTTTTTTCACGTTGTTTTCAAGCTTCATCCATGCTATGGCATGTGTCAGTATTTCACTCTTTTGTTGTTGAATAATATTCTACTGTAGGACTATATCACATCTGGTTTATCCATTCATCAGTTGATTCACATTTGAGCTGTTTTCACCTCTGCTATTATAAATCTATATATGTTTACCTTTGCTATTTTTTTTAAAGGTTTTAGTTATTCATTCATGAGATACATAGAGAAGCAGAGACACAGGCAGAGGGAGAAGCAGGCTCCCCGCTGAGCAGGGAGCCCAACATGGATCTTGATCCCAGGACTCTGGGATCATAACCTGAATCGAAGGCAGACACTTAACCAACTGTGCGACCCCTCCCCCCGCCTTTTTAAAGATTTTTAAGTAATATCTATCCCCACATGGAACTTGAACTTAGGACCCTGAGATCAAGCGTCACTGGCTCCTCCAACTGAGCCACCCAGTTGCCCCTAATTTCCTTTTAATCTTCAATTTTCAGAGTAAGAAGAAGATGTTCTGGTTACTTCCACTGATGTCCAATGAGAGTTCTCCTTACTCCCTTTTGTAAATTAATTTTAAAATTCCAGAGTAATTTTAGATGTATTGAAAAGTTGCAAAGATATTATTACAGAGTCCCTGTACACTCCACAGCCAGTCTCCCCCATTGTTAACATTGTAGGTAAAAATGGGATATTTGTCACAACTAAGAAAACAACATTGGTACAGTACTATTAACCAAACTCCAGACTTTTTTTTTTTAAGATTTTTATTTTATTTACTCATGAGAGATACAGAGTGAAAGAGAGAGGCAGAGACACAGGCAGAGGGAGAAGCAGGCTCCATGCAGGGAGCCTGACGTGGGACTCGATCCTGGGTCTCCAGGATCACACCCTGGGCTGCAGGCGGTGCTAAACCACTGTGCCATCGAGGCTGCCCTCCAGGCTTCTTTTGGATGTCACAGGTTTTTCTGCTAATATCCTTTCTTGACTCCAGGATCCAATCAAGGATCCCACAATGCACTTCATCGCTGTGTCTTCCTATTCTCCTCCCTTCTGTGATGGTTTCTCAGTCTTATTTTTCATTATCTTGACTGTTTGAGGAGCAGCAGGCAGGTATTTTGCAGAATGTCCCTTAGTTTAGATTTTCCCGGTATTTTTTCTCATGGTTAGACCAGGGCTATGTGTCTTGGGGGAAGGAGACCACAGATGAGACGTGCCCTTCTCATCCCAGGTTCTCAGGAGTGCAGGGTGTTCACATGTGCCCTGTCAAAGAGCACAAGCAACGATATCCAGCTAGAATTTAATTTTATTTTCTTTGACTTCTGCACAGTCTATCAGTTTTCTGTTGCTGTAACATAGTACCACAATCTAGGAGCTTAAAGCAACAACACAAGTTTATTATCAGTCAGACACCTAACATGGGTTTCATTGAGCTGAAATTAAGATGTTGGCAAGGAAGTTCCTCATGCAGGTCCTAGAGAGAAAAAAAAAATCCTCTTTCTTGCCTTTTCCAGTTTACAGAAGCCGCTCGGATTCCTCAACCCATGGCCCCCTTACACCATCTTCGAAGCCAGTGATAACAGGTGAGTCTCACATCCTGTATCTGGCCTTTTTCCATCAACACATCTGCTTCTAACTCCACTGGTAAATGTTCTCCAATTTTAAGGACTAGTGTGATTAAATTGTCCTCACTCGGATAATTTAGGATAATCTCCCCCTCTCAAAGTCCATACCAGTGATGTTGTGTTTTATATTAAGAAATATCTATATCTGGTCTCTGTCCAGTTCCTGGCACAGAGCTCCTAACACCCTTTGGAATTGCCCAAGTGTTGAGAGCAAGGAAGGTGTCTTTTGTTATACTAATGAGGTGATTTTAATTTTTTGATTTTTTTAAAGATTTATTTATTTATTTGAGAGAGAGAGAGAGAGAGAAAGCGAGTATGTGGGGTGGGAGATGAGCAGAGAGAGAGGGACAAGTAGACTCCAAGCCGTGCTCAGATCCCCAATGCAGGTCCAATTTTAGGACCCAGAGATCCTGACCTGAGCCAAAACCAAGAGCCAGAAGCTCAACCGACTGAGTCACCCAGGTGCTCTGCGAGGTGACTTTTAGAAAGACCTTAGGTCACCTACGGTTGGGCCTGGTGGCCAGGGGAACCAAAAAAGTGATTCGAGTTGGAACTTTCAGCCCCACCCACGGGTGTCAGGGAGGGAAGAGGGGCTGGGAGATTGCCTTCAGTCACTAACGGTCAATGATTTAATCAATCGTGAAGGTGGTGGAGAAGATTCAGGAAGAGTGGCGAGCTCAGAGAGTGGGAGCTCCTCCCCTTTCTCCATCCCTTGCCCTGTGCATTTCTTCCATCTGGTTGTCCGGAGTCCTATCCTTTTATAATAAACTGGTCATCTTGCAAATAAAATGTTTCTCTGACTTCTGTGTGCCACTCTAGCAGAACTGAGTTAAGTGCTTGCTGGTGTGGGAAATACAGGCGCACGCACACACACCAGAATCGATGTTAGAAGTGGAATATCCTTCATCACAACAGCCAAGTCCTCCTCGCTGTGTCAGGAAACACTTTCACAGGTTCTGGAGACCAGGGCATGGATATCTTTGGGGGACCATTATTCTTTTACCACACAGAGTTACTTGTACAGAAGTGATACTGTTACAGTTAATGAAACAATACCAATTTTCTTTTTAAAGTGTATTTCTGGGGCCCCTGGGTGGCTCAGTGATTGAGTCGGCCTTCAGCTCAGGTCGTGATCCCAGGATCCTGGGATCGAGTCCCGCATTGGGTCCCTGCGTGGAGCCTGCTTCTCCCTCTGCCTGCGTCTCTGCCTCTGTGTGTCTCTTGTGAATAAATATATAAAATCTTTTTTAAAAATGGAGGTACAAACTTGCAGTTATAAGACGGATAAGTTGGGGCACCTGGTGGCTCAGTCAATGGAGGGGCTGACTCTTGATTTTGGCTAAGGTTGTGATCTCAGGTTCATGAGATCAAGCCCCAAATCAGGCTCTGCGCTCAGCATGGAATCCCCGTGTCCCCCTCCCTCTGCTCCTCCCCTGCCACTCATGTTTGCTCACTCTCTTTCTCTCAAATAAAATCTTACAATAATAATAATGATTTTAAAATAAAATGAGTAAGTCACAAAGATGTAGTTGATATTATTTTTTTTTATTTTTATTTATTTATGATAGTCACACAGAGAGAGAGAGAGAGAGGCAGAGACACAGGCAGAGGGAGAAGCAGGCTCCATGCACCGGGAGCCCGACGTGGGACTCGATCCCGGGTCTCCAGGATCGCGCCCTGGGCCAAAGGCAGGTGCCAAACCAATGCGCCACCCAGGGATCCCTATAGTTGATATTATTGTAATAATTTTGTGTAGTGACAGATGGTAACTACACTCGCCATGGTGAGCATTTCCTCACACGGATAAGTGCCAAATCATTATGTCCATGTCATACACCTGAAACTAATATAATATTGTATATCAATTATACTTCCATTAAAAAATAATAATAGGGGCACCTGAGGTAGCTCAGTGGTTGAGTGTCTGCCTTTGGCTCAGGTCGTGATCCCGGGGTCTTGGGACCACGTCCCTATTGGGCTCCCTGCAAGGAGCCAGCTTCTTCCTCTGCCTGGGTTTCTACCTCTCTCTCTCTCTCTGTCCCTCATGAATAAATAAATCTTAAAAAAAAGAGATAATAATAGAGTATATACATTTTTTTCAATAAAAACAATCGGTTGATTTAAAAGATGCTGTAGACTATCCATATCCTACACAAATTCATATTTTGAAACCAAATCCCCAGTGAGATGGGGTGTGAAGGTGGAGCCTTTGGGGGTGATTAGATCATGAGGGTGGAGCCCTCATGATGAGATTAGTGCCCTGATAAAAGAGACTCCAGAGAGCGTCTGTGCTCATTCTGCCCCATGAAGACCCTTCCGGAAAGAGCCATCCATGAACCAGTGAGTCCTCACCAAACTCGGAATCTGTGGACCTCCTGATTTGAACTTCCAGCATCCAGGTTCATGGGAAATACATGTTTCTTGTCTAAGTCTGGACAGGCTAAGACAAAAGGACATGTAGGAAGCTGCTGGTGTCGAAAGAAATAGTGTCTGGTAGAAGGCCTGCCTCTCGGTGACCCGACAACAATCCTGTTGACATAACCCCGTTGATCAAAGCAATCCGCTAGCTGCCCCAGGCCAGTTCCTGTGGCTCTTGGTGGAATTCACTCAGCAGATCCGGATCCGGTAAATATAAAAGGTCTGGTCCTTGGGTGGGGAGCTACATCCTGGAAGAGGCTGCTGAGAAGTTGTCCTCCTGCCAGAGCTAGAAGTTCTCCAGGGTGGCAGCAGAAGTGAGGCCCTCAAGAGACCCCAGTGACCAAAGAGCTAGCCCCAAAGTCATGGGCCTTGAGACAGACCTGGAGACCAGCTCAGGTAAGAGGGGGCAGGGGGCAGGGGATGCTCTGCGCCGCGGAAAGACCAGCCAAGGGGGCACTGGGGAGGACAGACACCCTCCCCGGAGCTGCAGGGGTTTGCAAGCCACGAGTGGGCTTCGTTGGATTCCCTGTGCCCACAAACCTACCAGAACGTGAGCTTCCTTCCAAGCCTGTGTTGTGATGAAGAGCACATGGTTAAGAGTAGATTTACTTGTTATTTGGGTAACTCAGAAAAGTTCACCATTGGGCAGCCCAGGTGGCACAGCGGTTTAGCGCCGCCTTCAGCCCAGGGCCTGATCCTGGAGACCCGGGATCGAGTCCTGCATCAGGCTCCCTGCATGGAGCCTGCTTCTCCCTCTGCCTAGGTCTCTGCCTCTCTCTTTGTGGGTCTCTCATGAATAAATAAAATCTTTTTAAAAAAATTGCCATTTAAGAGTACAGGCTTTGGATTCACAGGGAGCTGCACTGGCACTCGCTTTGTTGACAGACAAGTCGACAGCTTGGTGCGGAGCTTGTGCCTGAGCTGGGTCAGGAGGGCTCAATAGTAAGAGCAGGGATTCCCGGGACAGACAGACAGTCCGGGCACTACCGTGTGTGGGGACAAGGTTGTGTGGAGGCGGGTGGGGGGGGGGTAGCACTATTTGTACAAGCTGAGTCTCAGCGTCCTGGTCTGTAAAAGGTGGCAGGACCTTCCTCTCGCTCCAGGACCCCATTACTTACACAGTGTGGTCCGAGGACCAGCAGCACTGGCATTCCCTGGGAGCTCGTTAAAAATCTGGAACCTCAGCCCCCCACCCCCCCAACCTCCTCCAGGCACCAGAGTCCGCACAAGGCCATTGTGCAGGTCGTGTGCACAGTACAGAAGCTCAGATGCCTGGGGCAATGCTTTTCGGGGAAAGCAGGATTTCAACTCGGGGTGTCCTGGGTGCTAAAACCTCTGCCCTTAGAACCCCCCCCCCTTCCCTACTGGGCAGTTAAACTCTCCTCGAGGGAAGGAGGAAGGGAATGAATGAAACCACACTCTCCGGTGCCAGCGTAAAGCCTTGGGCTTTTCCTTCCTTCCTTCCTTCCAGGTGGGAAGCCGGCCTGCCATCAGAAGGCCATCCCCGCTGCTCACCTGACTTTCATTATCGACTGTGCTCGTGGCAAACCGCTCACCCTAGTAGCACCCCCGGTGCCACCCCGAGCCCCTAGTCCTAATCTAGGACCTGTCACTCCTCCAATGAAGACCTACATCTTGTTCTGTGGAGAAAACCAGCCCCACTTGACTCAGGAGGCCCCTCTGAGTGGGGGACACCTTGCCCACACCAGGGCCACCCTGCCGCCCTGCAGAGGGACTATAACCCCAGCTTCCACCCCGGTCAGTCCACTGGTCCCTCAAGAGGCTCCTGAGGCCAAGGGGAGCCCCTTGAAGTCTGTGCCCTCCAGGTCTTCAGCTTGGGGAACGGTCATCGGCTCACTCAAAGCCCTCTCCTCCTGTGTCTGTGGGCAGGCAGATTAACTGGGAGAGCCTGGCCATGGAGAAGGGGGTTGGCACAGCAGACTCCAGAGCTCGGGGGCTGGGGCTGCAGCTCCCAGAGCCCAGCCCCTCTTCTCCAGCCAAGCAGAAAGAAATCTTTGCACCAGGCCCAACGAAGAGCATTAGATCGATCAAGGACATCTGAACCAGCCACCAAGTACACACTCAAGGGTCTCCTGCTTCCTCCTCCCTGTCTCCATTCACCCTCCAGCAGGAGCAGGCTAAGGCACCTGCACATGGAAAGAAGCCAATTCGCTCATACGGCAAATCCTAATGGAGCATCTTCTATCCGCCAGGCTCTGCCAAGTACCAGGGGAGACATCACAGCTTTCTTGGAGCTTATCCTCGGGGAGGTGGGTGGGGGTGAGGGAAAGAGTTAAATAAGTAACCAAATAAATAAGGATGATTTTGAACAGTGATGGAATGGGTGCTTTGTCGGAACTGAAATGGGGTGCCGGGATGGGAGGCGATGGGCCCAAAGAGCTGGGTGGGAAAGGCTTCTGGGAGGGTAACAAAGTATGGTCTAAAAGGAGAAGGGGCACCTGGGTGGTTCAGTCGGTTAAGCATCTGCCTTCGACTCAGGTCATGATCCCAGGGTCCTGGGATCGAGGCCCCCGGTGGGCTCCCTGCTCAGTGGGGCGTCTGCTTCTCTCCTGCTGCGCCTACTTGTGCTCTCTCTCTGTCAAATGATAAATAAAATCTTAAATAAAAGATGAGAAGGAGCCAGCACTGTGGGAATCCAAGGGCCAACCTGAGCCAGGGCCAGGATGCCCCAATGCGATGGGCAGGAGCAGCGAGCTGTCCGCGGCCATCCCAGCTCCCGGGCAAGTGTGTGGGTCACTGGGAAGCATAGACGCCAAGTGGGGAAATTCAGGGACCCAGGTGGGACCTGCCAATCCAAAATGGGAAATAAGGGACACTCCTTAGAAGGGCACGGAGGTGCTCAGAAAGGTAATAGAGTATCATGTTTGAACAGAGATAAATGTAAGAGCCCATTTCCTGAGCAGCTACTACATACGTACCAGGCTCATGTATCCCTAGGGACACAAGGGTAGGTGGCTCCTGTGTCACCGGGCAGTCAGGTTACCCAGCGGGAAGTGGGGTCACCGGTGTGGGTGTGAGGGTGTGTGTGGGCCTAAGATGCAGTGTTGTGTGGAATGCTACATCAACTCCTCTGAGGGAGTATGTCTCAAGGCTTTCTCGTTAAAATTGCTGATGTTCAGGGGGCACCTGGGTGGCTCAGTGGGTTAAGCATCTGACTCTTGATTTCTGCTCAGGTCATGATCTCAGGGTCCTGAGATTGAGCCCCCTACCTCCCATGCTCAGCAGGGAGTCTACTTCAGATTCCCTCCTTCTCCCTTTGCCCCTTCCCCCTCCCTCTCTAAAAAAAAAAAAATGCTGAATGTTCACGTATTTATTCAATGGTTATTTTACTAGTTTCCTACAAACACTAGTAGCTAAGGTGTATTAGCCATTTGCCCTGTGCCAGGGAAGGGACATCCTTGCAGTGCCAGGATGAAGAAGCACAGATTAGGGAACTGAGGGATGCACTCAGGTCCCACACACAGGTACAATTCCAATTAGATCCCAGGCACGCCTGGTGCTCAGGTTGCTCCCAGCCCCAGGTGGCCTCTCATCCCAGCAGTATCTCTCCTAGGCAGAGGAGATCCAGAGAGAACAGCCATAACTCAGTCCTCCGGGAGTCCACAGCCTTATGGGGGAGGCAAGAAAAGAAGATGGCCAAAGCTGGTAAGTGCAAGTTAAGGGCACACAGAATAAGGCTGGGGCTGGAGGAGGGTGTCCATGGGGGAGGTGTTCAGGGAGGGCTTCCTGAAAGAAGTGATGTCTAGACCAAGATTTGACCAGTGAGTGAGCCACACAAAGGTGAGGGAACAATGCGGGGGGGGGGGGGGGTTCCAGGAAGAAGGGCCAGAGTCATTCAGTTTGGCTGGAGTATTAATTCACTCTCACCAAGTATTTATTGGGCACCCACTGTGTGCCAGGCTCTGGGCTGGACCCTCAGCTGGAGCAGTGATAAGACAGACAAGCCCTCACCCTGAAGGAGCTTATTCTCTAGTTGGGGGAAGACAACTCATGCATGTGTACACGCAGCAGTGGCCAGAGAAATGGCAGGGACCTCACCACGTGAGGCCTTGCAGGCCAAGATGAGATAGAGCCTGTGACTTTTTTTAAAACTTTATTTATTTATTTAAGTAATCTCTAAACCCATCACAGGGCTTGGACTCAAGACCCCGAGATCAAGAATTGCTTGTTCTTCCCACTGAGCCAGCCAGGCGCCATGAACATGTGACTCTTGATCTTAGGGTCTTGAGTTCAAGCCCCAGGTTGGACGTAGAGCTTACTTAAAAGCAAAAAACCCAAACTTTCCATAGCTCTTGTGCTGGGACCAGAAGGCAGGGGTTGGGGAGGCTGGGGTTTGGGGGCAGGGGGAGCTTAGGAGGCTGAGCCCTAATCCAGGCAAAGCGGGGTGTCAACTTGGGCTAGAGAGGCAGTGACAGAGTAATCTGGAGGACATCTGTCCCTCCTCCCTCTTCCCCGGGCTGAGAATCACTGGACTAGAAGAACCCACAAAGACGCAGCTGCAAAGGGAGTTAGAAGCTCTCCAGGAAGAGGGTGGGCCTGTGGCTGCACGTCCAGTTTTGTAACAGCAGGTGTCACCCTATCATCAGACTGCAGGGCACAGTGTCCTGGCCTGGCCAGGAAGGTAGACAACGGCTGGGCACGGGGCCAGAGTCCTGGGCCAGCCACCCAGTGGGGTCCATGTTTCCAGAAGCCAAACTGCAGTCTAACCAATACCCCCTTTTGCCCAATAATGAGTGTGTGTGTGTGTGTATTTTTTTTTAAGTTTATTTATATTTTAGTACTCTAAACCCAGCATGGGGCTCAAACTCATAATCCTGAGGTCGAGAGTGACCTGCTCTCTGACAGAACCAGCCAGGTGACCCATGGCTCTGTATATTTTAATATGCACCACACACCACCTCTGTTCCTCTCATACCAGACCAGAGAGGTAGGTATGACTTTTATCGCCATTCTACAGGTAAGGAAGGAGGCAGAGCTCAAAGCCAAACCCCAGGCAGTGTGACTACACACCTGTAAGCCACGGCATCATGACCCTGAGCTTTGCAGCCGTCATCGTGTTCACGTTTGTTCAATGAGCAAATGGTTTTACGAGGACCCAGCCGAGGGCCTGGCAGGTATGTGGAGGGTGTGTGGGGCTCAACAGGTGAGCAGGGCCCTCACTGAGATGGAACACACCAGGGGCAACGGGGGGGGGTAGGAGAGAGCTCGGTTAGTCTCTCCACCCACAATCCTGTGAGGGACTATCCCATTTTACAGATGTGGAAACTGAGGCTCAGGTAGGGAAAGCAACTGGCCCAGGGTCACATAGCTAGCAAGTGGCAGAGCCAGGGTTGAAATTAAGGTAGTTTGACCTCAGGGCTTTGCCTACCATCCATACTGTATTCTGTTGAGGGAATGAATCCATAAACAAGTGAAGGACTTTATTGAACCAGTGGGTTAACGTGTGAGTGAGTGAAGGTGTTTCCAGGTTGGCAACCATGCTCGATCAAGACTGGGTCCCCACGGGCAGCCCGGGTGGCTCAGCGGTTTAGCGCTGCCTTCAGCCCAGGGCCTGATCCTGGAGACCTGGGATCGAGTCCCACATTGGGCTCCCTGCATGGAGCCTGCTTCTCCCTCTGCCTGTGTCTCTGCTTCTCTCTGTCTCTCATGAATAAATAAATTCAAAAAATCTTAAAAAAAAAAAAAAAGATTTATTTATCCATGAGAGACACAGAGAGAGAGACTCGATCCCGGGTCTCCAGGATCACACCCTGGGCTGAAGGGGACGCTAAACCGCTGAGCCACCCGGGCTGCCCATAAATAAAATCTTTAAAAAAACAAAGACTGTGTCTCCGGTACCTTAAAGTGACTCTCTGTAATAGGTGGTGGTTGAGAATTGCGCGAGGAGGGGAGATGGACGACTGGGTGGCGCAGTTGGTTGAGCCCTTGGCTCTTGGTTTCTGCTCAGGTCATGATCTCAGGGTCGTGGGAGGGAGCCCCGGGCTGGCCTCTGCACTCAGCCAGGAGTCTGCTTGGGATTCTTTCTCCCCCTCTAAGATATATTCATAAATCTATTTTTCTTTTTAAAAAATTTTTATTTATTAATTTGACCGAGGGAGAGACAGAGAGAGAGAGGAGAGCACAAGCAGGGGGAGAGGCAGGCAGAGGAAGAGGGAGAAGCAGGTCGACCACTGAGCAGGGAGCCTGATGTGGGGCTTGATCCCAGGACCCCGGATCATGACCTGAGATGATGGCAGATGCTTAACTGACTGAGCCATGCAGGTGTCACTAAATAAATCTTTAAAAAAAAAATAAGTTACATTTAAAAAAAGAAGAAAGAGGAGAGGGAGAGGAGGGCAGATGAAAGGAAGGCGCAGATTTGCCATCCTGCCCTCTCCTCCCGGGCTCTCTAGGGCCAGCCGCCCTGCCTTGTGCCCAGGGGGCCCACACCCAGTCTAGTAGCCCCCAGACTCCCATGAGAGATTGTCCCCGGGTCTGGGCCTTGGAGGGCCTCTGAGCTGGGGACTGGCCCAGCTGGCTGGTCACCATGAGCCCCAGGCCAGGTATGGGGTGGCCCAGCTGTGCTGACTGTAAATAACACTCCCTCCCCTGCCCCGAGGCTCCTGCCCTGGGCTCCAGTCCCTCAGACTGGTCACCATGCCCCTCCGGAACCTTGTTCGGAAAACAAGCGCGGTTTTAACGAGACTTCAGCATTTCCTGAGTTTGTACTAAAACACCATCTCTCTGTGGCTCCTCATAGCAGACCTGGGAGGGTGGGGTCTGATCTTTGTTTATGGGATGAGGTAACTAAAGCTTCCAGAGGTTTCTTTCCACCCCCACCTCCACCTCCAGAGCCCAGACAGGCTCTTCTGAGACAGCGAGGGGACCTTTTAGCTCTGCCCTTACCTGCTTTTCATGGAGAGGAGACTGCAGCTACCAGGGGAGCTCCTCTGCGGCTCTGGCCTGAGTCTTGGTCTCGATGGAGCCACAGCAGCGTGGGTGAGGTGGAGACGTCGGGATCCAAATCTGAGTGAAGTCACAGTAGCTGAGCCCCACTGGGCATTGTCAGGTCATGGCATACCTGAGCTCCAGTCAGCTGCTGCGTGCGTCACGTGTAACAACCCTAGCGAGTGGATTCTACTGGCACCGCTTACAGATAGGACAACTGAGGCACAGACGGATTATGTTACTTATAGGGGATCACACAGCTCAGAAGCAGCAGAGCCAAGATTCAGACCCAGGGAGTGTAGCTCCAGAGTCCATGCTGACCCTCCACTATTTACTGAGGCTTTTTAGCTTTTCAAAAAAATCTTACAAACATGTACTTATTAAAAACAAAACGAAACAAAAAAAACACGTACTTATGTTTGTACTTACGGCATGGTTCCATGCCAGGCTTGGGAGCAAGAGGGCAAAATAAGGCACCTTGTGCCCTTGCAGAACTAGGATCCGATGCAGACTGGGGAGAGGGGTGTGGGGAGGTGGGCTACAGGGTGGGAGGTAGGAGTTACCTCCGGGCCAGGGAAAGGTGGCAATGGGCATGAAGGGGTTGGCCTGGAAGAAATGCCCCGGCCTGAGCTTCTAGAAGCCCGGGTCTCCATCTCACCTGTGCCACTGACTTCTGTGTGACCCTGGGTAAGGTCCTAGCCCTCCCTGGGCCTCGGTTTCCCCACCACACCAAGAGGACAGGCTGGCCAACCAAGTGGGTGGCTCACCCTCAGGCAAGCACCCCTTTCATCTGAGTTTCAGTTTCTTTTGAGCACAAAGTTTGGGCCCAGGCTTCTTTGGACTTGTCTGTGCCCCTGAGCTGGCAGGTCTAGAAGGCTTTCTGGAGGAGGTGGTTTTGGGCCCGAATGTGAGGAAACCTTCTAGGTCCCTGGCACCCTTCCGGGTCTCTGGCAGCACCCGACCTGGACTTTTTCACAGGTCACAGGTCTCCAGGCTTGGAAGGCTGCATCTTTTCAGCCTCTCCTGCCTTCCTACCAGGTCCACTCCCAAAACTATAAGCTGTACAAGTCTGCCTTCCCTGTACAGGATGCCCGGATAGGGCCAGGGGAGCTGACTTAACCCTGGGGTGGTGTCATGTGTGTGTTGGGGGGTGGGAGGGCACTGATTTGGGCTTCCTAGATCCAGCAGAGGACTTCTAGAGCCATAGACAAAGATTCAAATCCCAACCATTGCCACTTCCGAGCTGTGTGACCTTGGGCCAGTTGCTTGACCTCTCTGAACCTCCTCGGTGCCTACCTCGTGGATTGCTGCGGCTGAGCAGTAGGCCCGGCACACACTAGGCGCTCAATGAACGGGGCTGCTAAAATTATTCCTGGGGTGGGGGTGGGGCGCAGGGCCTGCAGCCAGGCCTATATTTAGCCTGGAAAGGGTGGGGGGCCGGGGAGTGGGGGTGGGGGAGACGAGGTGCGGAGGCCAGCCCAGGCGCCCCGGGGGCGGAGCCGATGACAGAGGGCTGCCGGCCCCCTCCGCCGCCCCCCCTGCCGCAGGGTCACCTTGCTGGGAGGGGAGGGCCCTCCGGGACGCGCTTCTGCTCTGTGCCTGCGGAATCTTCATCTCCCGAAACCTGGGTCTGGGGAGAGGCCGTGGGGGCCTGGGGGGGGGGGAGCGGGGTCACTGGTCCGGGGGGGGGAGCCCCCCTCGCGCCCCAGGGGGGGCCTCGCTGGGGTCGGGAAGCCGCGGGGAGCCTGCCCCTGGGTGGGGGTCGGGGGAGCGGGAGGCGGGCGCGGCTCCACCCCCAACCCCGGCCGCGGAGTTTCGGGGCTGCAAATAGCGCAGTGGAATCAGTGAGTCACGGAGGCTGGAAATACCGCGCCCCCTCTTCTCCTCCCGCCTCCCCCCTGCGGCCCGAGCTGCACCGAGGAGCCAGGCACTCCGGTTTCAGCGGCGCCTGGTGGGGGGGTGCGGCGGGGCCTCCAGGGAGCACCCAGACTCCCCCAAGCAGCCCTGCCCTCCGGCCACAGCCCTGCCCCGGCCCGGGTCCCTGCGACCCCGAGCCCGCCGCCCAGCCGGTCTGGTCCCCAGGGGCCACCTGGCACAAGGCGGGCTCCAGGAGGGGAGGCGACGCTGCGGTGCAGGTGGCCCCCCTTTGCTGTCCCCGGCCCCGCCTGTGCAGTAATCATGCAGGGAAATAACTCTGGGATTCCCAGGAGGAGGCCAGGGGACACCCGCCTTTCTGTGAGGTCCTTGAGCTGCCACTCCTCGCCCCAGATCTCAAGGAAGGCGGGTCAGTTTATTCTGGGGTTTCTTCCCCTGGCAGCCTCCAGCCCCATCCCGAGGTTGAGAACTTCAGACAGGTGATCTCCCGCGGTCTGTGATTCCGTGGTTTATTGTGTGTGCAGCATACAATGGTATGGTCCTCCCGTGTTCCCTTCCACCCCCCAGCCATCCCCTAAGGGCCCCAGAATGGCAGGGGTGAGAGGCCGCCCTATGGAACACGGACCCAAAAGGTGCAGAAGGAAGAAGCAGGCCCGGCCTCTTGCCCTAGGAGGCCTCAACCACTGTGAACCACCCCTACTCCCACCCCTCCTTCTGTAGGTTGGAGATGGAGCCAGTGTCACTGGGGGTATCTGGGGCTCCCCCAGATGAAGGCTGACCTGAGGTCCCTGCCCTGGGCTGGAGACTAAGAGGGAACTGGGTCGGGGGCTCTCCCTATGATCCAGGCACCCTCCAGCAGGAAGGTGGGGGGCAGGGTGCACAGGCCATGAGAGGCAGAATGAGGGGAACTACTCTCCAGTGCTGGGAAGGGTGGAGGCAGTTTGAGAGCAGCTTTCAAGGCCTGGGTTCAAATATGACCTTTAATGAGTGAGCCTGGCATTCAACAGCTCAGAGACTCAGTTTCCCCAGTAATAAAAATATCTAATTTTAGGGTACTCTGAATTTAGCCTCAACTAACAGTAATCCTCAGTACTTGAAGAACATGGCAATGTGCACATTTGTGTACTATACACACACCCAGCCTATAGATTCATTGATTAAAGAGGGGGAAGGGTGGGAGAGGTGACTGGTGCAGGGGAAGGGTGACGAGAAGCTAGAGTCCAACCTTGAAGGCTCAAGGCCCCATCCGTGCTGTCTCTCCCACCCCAGCTGGATGACCTGTCTGCAGTGGGGGCAGCCCGGGAGCCCAGGTGTCTGGGTGTGAGGAGGCACCGGCCCCACCCCCAGCTGGGCCTAGCCTAAGGGCACAAGCGCGTACCAGAGGGCAGGAGTGTTGTACCATTTATCACAAAGCAGCTCTATTGGAAAAACCCCATCTATATACAGACGTTGTGTGGCCCTGTCCTGGCACAGCTGGTGGGGGGGGCACCAGGTAGGCAGGTGGCCTGGCAGCTAGCCCCGGGGCTCAGGGAGTGGCAGAGGGGACGCTTCCCACCATGGCTGTCCTCTCTGACTTCTCTGTCCCGCTTGGATCAGCGCCTAATATCTGCCTCTGTCTCCCCTGCTCCCCTTGGCCAAGGGAGTCCCAGGTCCTTGTCCCCTCTGCCCCTGCACTGCAAAGACTCCAGAAATCAGAGGATTTGTCCATCTGTCTGTCCTGCAGATTATTTGCTTGACCCAGTTCCTTTCCCCAAAGTGGGTTCTCCGGGAACTCCCTTTCCTATCTCAATCCCTTTATTCTGGATTAAGTGAAAGAGGCCACATCTAGAATCTGGGGGCCACAGGTGAGGCAAAAGGATCCCCAGCCTGCCCCTGGAGAGCAGGAGGCCTCAGTTTAGGGGGATGACCAACCTCAGGGCCTGGAATTTGAGCTGAGATGTCCTGCAAGCTGTCATGAGGGTGAGGAAACTTCTCTGGCACGCCAGTGGGGGAGTCTAGGGGAAGTGGGAGGGGGCGGGGAGGGGGAGGCCCTCAGATTTTAATCTCCGTCCTGAAGGTCTGCTGGACGTGCTCCGTGTGCGGGTGGCGCCGGGCCCGGATGGTGAGGCTGCCATCCTCCCTCAGGGCAGAGGTCACCGAAGTGGGGTCCACGTCCTCGGGCAGCTGGCACTTGTGAGCGAAGGTGTTCATGACGGTGCCGTCAGCTGCCAGCTGGGGAAGGGGTGACAGGTCAGGGCAGGATGCTCCCCACCCCTGTCCTGCTCCTGTCAGGCCACCGCCCTTTCTCCCTAATCTTACCCCAGCCAGGCCCCTACATGCCAGGGCCAGGGGGTTCTAGGCGCAGGTGCAGAGGGGCTGGCCAGGGTGGCGGCGGCCGGGACAGCTATAGAAGTGCCCGGGGGAGCTCCAGTGCTTTCGAGGGGTAGGCAGGGGGCTGGGTGGGGCTGCTCAGAGAAGGAGGGGCTCCTTGGCAGAATCAGGAGCTCCCAAGCAACAGAGAAGACAGCATGGAGCAGGGCCGTGCCCTCTTGGGTGCCCAGGCACATCCAATGTCCACCGCGTGGGCTGGACGGGCAGCCCCTCCCCTGTGATTTGGGCAGCACACGGTGTCCGGAGGAGCCTGGTGTCTGAGTCACTGGCGGGGGTTGCAGGGCTGGCACGTGCTGCCCACTGGTCCTGGTGCCCACAGTCCTGGGCTTCCCTGGCAGAGGCACCGGGGGTATCCAGCCTCCCGTGCTCGGGAGAGAAAGCCAGGCCAGGGAAGGTCTGGAGGGAGCCTTGGACAGACCCTCCCTGACGGGCAGCTGTGGCCGTGGCCCTCTGGGGACAGCACCCCTGTTCAGGCCAGGCCACACTCTCCTCCCCAGTAGAGGCCTCCTGGCCCTCGGCGCTCAGGGACCTCAGTGACCCAGTGACCCTGAGACCCGTGAGTGGAGGGAGTGTGGGGTCTGGACTGTGTCTGATCTTGGCCCGCAGGGCCCCTGCCCGGCCTCGGGTGGGGTTCAAGGATCCCACGATGGGGGCTGAACCTCTGGGTGGAGGAGGGAAGATGGGTTTGAAGGGTGTAACATGGGGGGGCTCTTCCCCCCGCTTGACAGGTGAGCCCCCCATGGACCCGCATGACTGCCAGGAACGCTATCCCCACTCAGCTTCCATCCCCATCCTCTCAGCTCGCCCCTCACCTCACTTCACCTCCTCAGGTGCTCTCTGCCTGCATCCCCCCACCCCTTCCCCTTCCCCTGAGGCTCCCAGAGAAAGGATCTCAGTGCCATGGGGCAGGGAGAGGGGGGCAGTGTCCCTCTGTAACAGGAGCAAGGTCTCCAGATTGCCCTGGGAGGTTGGGGGAGCAAGAGTCAGGGTCTGGGGTCTCAGCATGGTGCATAGGAGTGGGGATGCCGGGCAGAGGGTACGGGGTGGAACCGGGGTCCAGGCAGGGTGGGCAGGCTCACCTTCTCAGCCCGCACCTCGATGTGGTTGTTGGAGGTGGTGACAATGATGTCTTCAGGTGAGAAGTCACTCACGTCCACTGCAAACTCATAGGCGTCCCCGAGGGTCTTGATGTTGCCCGGCCCCCCGGGACGGGCTGTGGGGAAGGCTGAGCTCAGCGCTGGGCAGACCTGCATCTAGAGCCCGGGTTTCAGGCTCCTCTGGGGCCCTGCCCTCGCCTTCGCCTCACCTCCTGCAGCCCACCTTTCCCGCGACGGGGACGGGGATGGGGCCTGACCCAGCACAGGTGAGATGAGTGATGCAGGCCCGGAGGTGGGGTGGGGTGGGGTGGGTGGGGTGCCTCCCTCCCCATCCAGTCCTCTGGGGCTCCAGCAAGGACCTGGCCGTGGCCCCCGTGTGGCCTTTGGCATCACAGCTGGCCCCCTGGGTCACAACCGTCCCCTGGAGGCCAGCCTGTTCTTGTGGCCACATCTGTCTCTGTGACCGCATCTGTTCTGGTGGCTGCACACGGCTACGGTCGTGCAGCTGGGCAGCCACGTGCAGGGGGGCCCCGGAGCAGGTGTCCCCTACCTGTGCATCTCCCCTCAGAGCCCTGACAACTTGCCTGGGAAGGCCAGGGGCTCCGAGTGGGGCCGCATGAAGCTGCCAAAATCCTCGGAAAACATGCTCAGGGCTTTCTCCATGGGCGGGTCCTGGGCAGGGAGGGCTCGGGAGGCGGAGGAGGACGAGGACGAGGACGAGGATGAGGATGAGGACGAGGAGGAGTGGAAGCTTCTCTCCGCTCTGAAGGTGGAGGAGGTCCTGTGGCTCATCCACGGGCGGGCGGCCGGGCCCTGGCCAGGGGGGCAGGGGGACAGGAGAGGGTGTGGGCAGCAGGCTCCGGGGAGCGTGCCGGGCCCTGATTGCCGGCGCTTTATAAGGCCCGACGTCCCGGGCTCAGGGCCAGCCCCTTGTCTCCTAGCTAAATTTAGGCCTCGCCTGGGCCGGGAGGGGGCTGGAAATCCTCTCCGGTGAGCCGGCCCTGCTGACAGTCCAGCACACGCGGCGGGCTGAGCTCACAGCCCAGCATTCCAGGCCGATAACTGCAGCGCGGGGCCTCCGCAGCCTGTCCCCCAGCACTCAGACCCCGTGCCTGCCCCAGGACCCCGTGTGTGTGTGTGTGTGTGTGTGTGTGTGTGTGTGTGTGTGTGTGGTGCCTCTGCCTCCCCCATCAGCCTGGGGCTCTCTAAGGACTGTGCCTCCCCCATCAGACTGCAAGCTTCTTGAGGATAGGGTTTTCTGTTTCCTGTCCCCTCTCCCCCAAAGTTCCAGTCCTTGGTAAGAGGGGATCTAGGTGGCGGGCAGTCAGGTTGGCGGGGGTCCAAGCCCCTGGCCCCGGGGGACAGCAGGAGACCCAAGGTCAGGAGGTAGGGGAGGGTGGAGGATCCCTACCCCTTGGACCCCTGTGTGAGGTGAGAGACTCCTTCCCTCAGGGCAGATAATGTTTACCCCCATCTCTTAGGAAAGACGGAGACAGCCCTGGGGGGGGTAGAATGTGCAGCTGTCCCCCTGCCCGCTCCCACGGGGACCCAGATTCTGTGCTTGCCCTCACCCCACGCTCAGGACATTTGGGGGCCCCAGAGGAGGACGCTGGCGGCCCTTGGCCGGGGTGGGAGTGGGGTCAGGACTCAGGGGAGGACAGCAGATCATTTGATAATTGTCCTTAAAGGTCTAGAGGGTTACATTGCTGGGGACTGTCTGTGTGACCTCCAGCCCAATGGAGGTGCTCAGAGGCTGTGGCGGCGGGATTCAGCGAGAGGTAAAGGAGATCTCCCGGGGCCGCTGGTCCAGCTCCGACCTCCGGAGCGCCTCCTGGCTGTGAGCTTTGCAGCCCGGCCCATCCAGTCCCCACACACCTCTGGGAAAAGAGGTGTTGTTCCCATTTTACAGGCAGGGAAGTGGAGCCTCACTGAGAGGGCGGGGCTTGCACGGGGGTAAGTGGGGGAGCTGGGATTGGGACCCCGTAGGTCTGATTCAAAGCCCTCCAGGAGGCTGGGTGCCATGGGCAGTGGGGTTTCTGTTCTCTCCAAATCCTGCCTTTCCTGTCCAGACTGGCTGACTCTTCCTCCGCCACGGAGGCCTCCGTGATTGCTGCAGCCACACAGGGGCTCCAGCCGGGATGCCCACCCCAGCACCTGGCACTGTGACATGGTCTTCCTGGGTCTGTGACTTCTCTGCCATGTCCTCACTCCCCCATCAGATTGGAGTGACTCCCCATGGTGTAGGGGTCCGCCCATCCCCCCATTAGATTAGAGGCTTCTGAAGGTGGGGACTGTTTTTCTTTTCTCTGCCTCCCACCGAACACCACCCTCGGGTGGGGGGGGCTCCATCTAGGGGTAATTACTGGTGCCCGTGGTCTGTGGGGTGGGGGGCAGGAGCTGAGTGGTCACCGGAGCAAGAGGGGTCTGTCATTCTGGTGGAGGTTCTTGCTGGGCCCGTGTCACCCATCTTGGCCAAGGGGTTCCAGTAGGGCTGCCAGGAAGTTACCAGCATGAGGCAAGATGGAAAGAGGGTAGGGGCGGGGTGGGGGGCCATGAGGCCTCCCGCCCGCCAGGGAAACAGGAGCCAGTGGCTAAATGCAGACACAGTGTCATGGTGCTGAGGGCCTGAGTCACTGCTCCTGGACGTCAGATCCCGTTACCCACCCCCGCCCACCGTTCCTCCTCCCCTTCCTCCTATCCCTGAGGCATCGCCTATAAATGTACTGGATCTACTGACCTCAGTGGCCAGGAAGGACCTCCAAAGGTCGTCAGGGCCATCCCCCTGTCTCTGGGCATGCTCTCCCTCCAGATCACAGGGATGATCCACTGCCTTGAATCTCAAACCTGCCAGGGCATCCCAGTCACCTGGGGGATCTTTTAACAAATGCAGACTCATCCCTCTGCATCCCAAGATTCTGATTTGGGGTCTTGGGAAGGGACTAAGTATCTGTTCCCCTCAGCTCCCCACACAGCCGGCCCACAGGCCCGTGTTTGGAAACTGCCCATCATTCAGCAGATATTTACTGAACACTTACTATGTGGGGGGCACCATTCCAGGCTCTGGGGGAGTCATGATGAATGACCAATGAGGAGCCATGACTCCCTGGTGCTCCCAGGGCTGGGAGGTGAGGGTGTGGACATCCAGCAGCAGCCGGCCAGCTGATGCTGGCTGTGGGACTGTAGCCTACAGCTGCCTGGAGCCAGAGGCTGGGGTTTGGGATGTCAACAGGGCAGCCAGTTATCCTGTTACTGTACCCGGTCACCAGGTTGGGGTGGCAAGGCGACAGTGGGCCCTGCCCCGCCTCCTACTGCATACACACATGCGCCTATTTTGGATGGACCTGGCTGGGCATCGAGGGTCAGAGAGTGGCTCGGGGTCCCAGGATTTTCACAAGCCACTGAAGGGCCATCATGATTTTCAGAGAGGAGCTTTGTCTGGGGGGAGGGAGAGAGCACAGCTATCCCAAATCTCTTGCCCAAATCTTTCCAAAAGTGACATCAGACCCAAATCATCTGCTTTGTGCCCAAACCCTTGTCCTGACTGATTAAAGCCACAGGGCCTGTAGGAGCTCTGGGGAGGGGAATAGCCAGACAGTCTAGGTATGGGTCCAGCCTCTTCTGTGTGACTTTAGGTCAGTCACTATACCTCTCTGACCCTCTGTCACCTGCCCAATGGTGATCCTACCCTTGACTCACAAGGAGGATGGGATGGGAGGGTGAACTGTGTTGCAGATACAAAAGGCCTGGCGTGTGGCTGGCACATAACCTGTGCGTGCTCCCTCACCCTCATGCCCTCACTCCTACCCTCTGCTGGGGCGGGCTGTCTGTGGCATTTACTCAGAAGTGCCCTGGTTTGAGAGGTAGTTCTCTGAGACTTGGGGAACTGGACATGAGGGTTGAGATCAAGTTCCTCCCCAGGCCCCAAATTACTGCCCCTGCTCCAGCTCATCGGTCCCCTCCCCACCTCTGAGCAAGGTGGGCAGTGCAGCAAGTGCACAGGCTCTGGAGTCCGGCAAACCCTTCAGGGACTCTAATTTCTTTAAAATGGGATAATAACGGGACGCCTGGGTGGCTCAGTAGTTGAGCGTCTGCTTTTGGTTCAGGTCGTGATCCCGGGGTCCTGGGTTCAAGTCCCATCGGGCTCCCTCCAGGGAGCCTGCTTCTCCCTCTGCCTGTGTCTCTGCCTCTCTCTCTGTGTGTCTCTCCCTTTTCTGCTTTTTCAGACCCCTTCCATGTCCAGCTCTGAGAATCCAGGGCCGTGATACTCAGCCCCCGCGGATGACCCCTGCCGTGTGCAGGAGCCTCTCCCTCCCATGTCCCCACCCTGCGGTGTGGTTGAGTGCCACCCTCTGCGGGGCTCCCCTGGGTTCTGGGGAGCTCTGGCTCCTGGTCCCCCTTGGCTGTTCTGGCCTGCATGGCTCAACCGGCCTGGGCAGTTCTGGTTGGTTTGTCAAGGACATTCTTAATGGCCAGGGTAAACCCCGGCAGGGCGGGGAGGGGGGCCCCCCCGGGATGCTGATTGGTGGAGCACATACCTGTTCAGGTGCACCTGGGCTGCCGGCAGAGGAGTCTGTTAGAGGAGGACCGGCTGGAGCCACAGCAGGGCCGACGGACAGAGGTGAGGGGCTGCCGGGTGTGGAGCCGGGCCTGGATTTGGGTGGAACCTGCCAGTGCCAGGGCAGGCAGGGCAGGGGCAGAAGGCTGGGGGGGCTGGGAGCCAGCAGTCGTTATAGCCCTCGTGGGCTGTTCTCCTGGGTCTGCTGTACACCTGCCTCTGTGGCCTGAGCAGAGGAGAGGGGGCACAGGGGTGCAAATGGGGAGTCAGAGCAGTTCATGGGGACCCTGCAGTGTGAGGGACTCTGAGGGGCAAGGGGATTGCTCTGAGCAGTGGAAGCAGCCAAGTGTGCAAGGAGGATAGGAAGTGGTGTCCACAGCAGGGGGAAGTGAGTTCTGAGGCTTGGGATCCTGTCCTGATCGATCTGCTACTGGACACAGAGGACACAGGAACCCCGACCCCCACCCTGCACCCTAGCACACATATGCGCACCCTCAGTGACACCCTCTTAGTGATGAGGACCCATTGGACCTATGTCCGCTCCTGATAACTCCACACACACCTGCACTCAGGAAAACACCTCTTTTTATGTGGGAAGTAGCAGTGTGGGGGGGGGGGCATGTGGCAGAGTAAGGGCATTGGAGCAGCTTACCAAGGGTCTGTCTGTCTGTCTGCTCAGGGACCCCATGGAAGAGCTGGTGGGGCTGCGTGAGGGCTCCTCGGGGAGCCCCGTGAGTCTTCGGGAGCTATGGGGCCCGTGTCCCCGCGTCCGCCGAAGCATTCGAGGTGAGAGCTAGGTCCTCTCTCCATGGAAGACCCCTCAGGATATCACCCCTACCCGGACCCCACCTCCCTCACCTGCCTTGAAACCCGAGAGCTGCCCTGCCTCCATGTGCCCACCATCTCCGGGTGGCAGGGAGGGAAGGGACCTGTCTGCCTGTCCATCGGCCTGTGGGTCTAGATGTCTGCTCTCTGCCTTTGGGGAAAGTAGCCCCAAAGCCTGATGGCTGTGCTAGGGGCCTTGCTCGGGGCCCAGTGGGTACAGCCTGGCCTGACCAGCACGGCCTGTAGGATAGGCCCACAGGTCTGGAGCCAAGGAGGGGTCCTGCTAGACTCCTGTTCTCCAAGCTGTGCCCTGCGGAGACGCTGGAGGAATCTGTAGCTCGCAGCACACCCTCCCCCTCCCCAGCCGGCCAGTTCAATCTTCCATGAGCCTCCAGTGCAGAGTGGGGAAGGGAGGGTGCACAGGTCAAAGGTCCCCTAGCAGGGCCCATAGGCCTGTCACCTTCACTTGCCACGACTCCTGCTTCGCCCCTCC